CATCAATAATACTCTAGATAAAAATGTAGCTTAAATACTGAACACGAATATAATTCTTTCCATTGGAAAAAGATTCCAAATAGCTAATATGTTTAAACAGATTCTTAGTGGCAACATCTTTCTCAAAATATCTTCGCAAAACTGATAAGACTATTTTGAATAATGCATTCCACCTCTAGCTCTGAAAGGAAATTTACATCAGAAGGCACTTATTGTCAGTTCTCACATCCAATTTAAAACCATTCTTATACTCATTTTGCAGAAAAGCAGTTGTTTATGTCACAAAAGATGATACATGCATGCCTGTGCAAACACACAGACAGGTCTTTTCTCAGATGGAATGAAGGCTACATTGCATCTGCTTTTTATATCACAAACCACTATTCATATCTTTATTTCTAAATGAATTCTGAACATAACTTTTAATATTAGGATGAAATGGACTTTTTTTTATTCAACAACCTCTTGCATAGCAAAATAATGCCAGTTTCACCAATGTTGAAAAATGTTTATACAGTTATAATAAGTTCCACTGAATATTGAAGATACTAGAGGTAAAATGTTCAAATACAAAAATAACTAAATTTTGAAAACTATGGAGGGTGGATGGAAAGGTAATTGTCACTAGTTGTATTACAGGATTGCTGCAGTTTAAATATTGCTTCATTATTACAGTATTTTAAGTATAATACAACATAATCTCTCTATCAAACTTTTTACAATGTGTGAGGGAAAACTTACTGCAGCTGTTAGAACAAGGCATTGAAAAAACATAAGAATTAAATTAAAGAAGAATATAGATTTTTATGTGCCTATATCTCACTTATGACTCATTTTACTGGTTTTACTAATACATGAATGATCAACTAATTGATTCTTACACTTTCCTTATCAATTCAGGAAGTATGTGTGTGATCCTCTAGTATTACTCAAAACAGAAAAAATTCTAAATAAGATATTTTGCAGAGATTAAAAAAATTACTCTCTTTTTTAAATATTTTTTTTTAAAAAATAGCTAGAAGTATCTTACTGCGTTTTACTAGAACAATGCATTTTCTGAACCAAATTTTCAAAGCCTTCTCTTTTAGCCTTTTTCTTTTGGTTTTTTTTCTCCCAATCTTTAGAGCATAGTTATTCTTGTCCTTAGCAGATCTAGGTGAGTACTTTTTCCTGAATAATTAACTTCAATAAGGACAATATAGGTATTATATATTTGTAATGGATTATATGTTTGCTCATGCACACTGCACATTAGCTATTAATTCTTTATTAAATTTTTCAGTTTTACAGTAATACTATTCAGAGAAAACTGAGAAAAAAAAATTGTATTTCTGAAGCAATAAAGCTCTTAGCCTGTGTGGCACCATGACTGAAATAAAGTACAAAGTAGCTGCTAATTGCTGGCTCTTGACTGTTACTTTCAGTCGTTCCAAGTATTCTCAAGAATGTTTAAGAAATACTCCAATGTATGCCAGGAGCTGACTGGGATATCTGATCATAGAAAATACAGTTATTCCAAAAGTGACTGAAAAACAATTAAGTTATAATATGGAAAATTGGTTTAAACCAAATTAAACCAAACTGAACAATAGAAAGAGAAACAATAAAGGGAAAGTCCATGGTCACTGAAATATTTGTTGTTTTTCATGTGTGAAAGATTGGATTGTAAAGCTGTGGCCAGATGTATAAAAAAGTACTTACATCTAGGCCCAGAATGAAAATTATGTAGCCTGTACTTAGGTATTTGTAAATTTTGGATTGAGAAAACTGTGAATCATAGTAAAAGCATAAACCATTCAATGATTCAGTAAACATATTTTGCTAAAATAAATACTTTATGTGGCATCAAAATTAAATATGTTTGGTATCAAAATTATTAAAACCCAAAATTAATCTAATATTTCCATTAAAATTTTAATAAAACAGCACATAGATTCAATATGTGCAACTCCCTTTTACAGTAAGTTGTCTTCTAACAAAGCAGAACAGAAAAGACTCCCAAAGAGTTTTATATTCAGTGCTTGTCCAATGAATCTTATACTACTTTAGACAGTCTGAAATGTGTTTTTTGGCAGTTGATAAACAAATACTGACAATATTTTTTCATTTTGTCTAACTTATGGTTAACTGAAAAGAAATTATTCATTTTGACATACTTTAGGTTCATAGTTATAAATATTCTAAGTGACAACTGTTGCCCTGTTTCTTAAGCATGTCTGCAAAAGTGGTATTTGAATAACAATTATTTTTATGCAATTTGTCTTGTCTATTTAAAAATATTACAATAACTTTTGCAGCTGCTACTAAGTTTCTGTGAAGGATTAGGTCATGTAATTGGGTTATGCTACCACAAAAGCAGTTAACTCTTTTAGCTGCAGAGGGAAGTAAGGGCAACAAAGGTCAACGAGGCCAAATTTTCTGGTTGTCCTGGAATCCAATTTCATGCTCAGATAGTACACAGCACAGCAGGATTGCCGAAGGGTAGCCTTTCTGTAGCCCAGGAAATATGATGTTTTGTCATTACTTGTAAAAAGCCTCAGGCTTTGAATTGACCTGGCAGTGCAGTCTCTCAGGATTCAGTTGCACTTGCCTTGTCCTGAGCTGAGGTTACCTTGCTTTCCCTGTGATAGTAATTGTCTCACTATCTGGTAAATATTGCTAAAATCTGCTTCAAATTATATAGCAGTAACAAATAGCCGTTCTGTGTGAGGGGAATTGCTGGCACCACCGTCATTAAATGTGGTGTTGAAGAGTGTGCATATAGGGTGACATCAGAAGTTCCAGTTTATGAAAACAGAGCACAGTGGTCAAAAGCTGATCAATGCAGGAGTGTACCTGTGTGAGCCACCTAAAACTAACTTCAGACAAAAAAAAGTAGAGAACAGAAAACCTGAAGCCCGAGGTAGCAGAACTCCTCACCATTAACAATACATGTCTTTTGGCGAAAAAGCTCAGGACACTGATGGGTTGTTGTAGCCCTCCACTTCCTACTAAGAAGGCTACTCTTGCCCTTCATACCCAATGAGATGGAAGTGTAACATTACAGCAGAAGACAGGAATAACTCAATAGGGAGCTAATATTTATTAGCTGTTTGTGTTGAGTAAGTGCTCCCTCTCTTAATTTTAGCTTTTATTGAGTGAGCTTTACTGTTATTGAAATTTTAACTGCAACTCTTTCTTGCATTATTTTCAGAGTTCTGAAATATTACCAGGACATAAATTCTTAACCCATATATAACATGTATGATCTTTTGTCCTGAAGGAAACTTTCACGAGTGTTTCTCATCTCTATTTCTTGAGAGGGTTTTGAATGTCATCTTCCTAGGACTGTGGTGATTCTCACGGCTCCTAGATATCAATTTTTGTATACTGCTGAAACTTGGTAATCTTGTTGACTTAAATTGTTATGTAACTTCTGAACTTAAAAAAACCATACAAGTCAGGCAGGATCCAAGTAGGCATAAGGAGGTCATTACTACCTTGTGCAGAAGACAGCTTTAATTCAGTAAAAATACAGTCCATTTACAAATTAAATGGAACCCAAATTAAAAACTAATTAAAGACTTTCAGTTGAAGGACTCAATAAGAGTAATGCAATTTTCGTTTTTCTCTAGGAAATGCACTCTAGTGATAATCAAGATACACTTCACCATAAAATTGGTTTTTGTAAAGCATATCTTGCTTTTTATCTGGTATGAGTACAGTCCAGTAGTGGCTTTTTCTACACAGAAGGGAACAGATTAGCATGTCCTTCTCCACTGACTGATTAAAAAAAGAAACAAACTTCAATATTAATATCTCAGAGTGAGAACATTTCTACTTGTTCACATTCTTAACTGCTGTAAATTGAGTTAGTTTCAGAATCAATTAGTTATACCACCAGTCTCTAATATATATCTTGGGTAATTTTGTAAGCTATATATGTGTAAAACCCAGAAACTTTTCAAAACCGTGTTTACAGGGTTATTTGGTCTAAACATAAGTTAAACAGATAGTCCAATTAATCAAAAAGTTATTAATCACTCCTTTCTATGCCTGTGTAAACAAAAAAAAATTAATAAAGCTTATATTGGTTTAGCATTTTCTAAAAAAGGGCTTTAAAAGTTGTTTGTTTTAGTTATAATATCACAATGTTTAAATAAAAACAAATTAATTTCCATAGTCTCAGTAATTTTAGTTCTGTGTTTTTTAGAGTAATAGTAGCTTTCTTATACTGTTGAGTAATGCACCAGTTTGTTTGCCACAAAAGAGCATATCCTTATAGGGTACACAAAGCGAGGCAGCTACTCTGCCCCTAAATTCTCTTCCCATTGTTCTGTGGACTTGGCATTGTTCCAGTCTCCCCCTGGAAAAAGTAGATTTCATCATTCAAAGAATTATAAAACCTCAATATAAATACCTCCTTGTCCCAGCTAACTTCAACACTCAAAATTATGCAAAGATGATGGTATATGAAAACCCTTTACCAGCCACACTGAATTCTTCGATTCAGCTGTTGTAATCTGAATATATTTTCTTCATACAGTCTTCTACAGGGTAGAGAAAGACTCTTCACATTCTTGAATAAATAAACCACAAAAATTTGTGTGCAGTAACTAGCCTACAGAATTGAGTTGATATTCATCTCATCTAACTTCAACTAATTAAAAGTTCAATGCATCATCTAAATTATTTTAATGTCCCTTATAAATTAATGTGAATTAAGAATATTCAAAAGGTTACTCACTGTACATAAGCCATCTGAGGATATTCTGGGGGTGACTATCTGTTTTTACTGTCCCTAGATATAAAGCAAGGACAGAACTTTCAGTTTTTTGATTAATAAGACTGGACTACATGCCTTTTATTGTAACGCACTATCAGATAATGAGATTTGGATACACTGTCAGCTGAGTGAAAAAAACCAAAAAACACTCTTTGCAAAAGTGTAATTTTTTCCAAGGCAAAATAAAACAAAGATCACCCAGAATTTCTTCCATTAGATGGAGGTAAAACTCATGTCCGAAGGAGATGTTGCAGTGGTCCTCACTGGAAATTGTTTTACATCCGAGGGCTCATGACCCACATAAGAGGCGTGTGCTGTCTTTTGCTGTGCTAAACTGGATGTACAGCCTGGCCTTCAGGACCTTGCTGTACTGAGCTAATCCCTTGTCTGCAGAATAAAACTGGCCAGTAACAGAGGAGCTGCAAGCAGCACAGCTATGTTACCTCTGTGGCCTTGCCTTTACCTCGTGATGCAGCAAGAAGTTCTCATGTAAACATCCCTTCTGTTTGATAGTAGAAATGATAAATAGCACTGTTTTCTTGGAAGAAAATTCTGTGACAGCTTGAAGAACCAAAAGGAAGTAACCCTTCCACAAATGGGGTCTTCATGGTGTGCTGCCTGTGGATTGGAGATGTTCAGTGATGCACTTCTCAAGGTTCTCACCACTGAAACAGGTAAGTGATTTGCTATATTATTCTCTCTTCCTTTATAATGCTAGCTCTAATAAATACCATTTGAAGTGAGACTTTACAAATTCTAAGTGTCTCTCTTTGCATTATCATAAAGTCCCAGCTTTATGGTGTAAAATAGGCATCATAAGTTTATTGGATAAACACAGAGAAAAAGAAATTCTCAAAAAATTTAGAAATCTTCAAGAAAGTATTCAAGACATTTTCATTTCCTAGAAACAAAAGTTTCTTATAATATATCTTACCACTGCATTGTCTGAATATTTTCCAAGTTGTGTGTTAAGTAGGATAATGTAAACTAACAAACTGTTCTTTGTTCTGTGTAAGAAAGAAAAATTGTTCTGCAGATTAATTTTTTCAATATATGCAGTTTTCTATCTGCATAAAAAGGTTATCTTTATGAAAGAATGCCAAAACAAGGATCTCCATATCTTCTGAGGTTTCTGGCAGCTTTTTGACTCCCCGCAGAGGCTCTCCCTCATCATCTGCACAGAGAATTACCCTTCTGGATAAAAAAAATTCTGTTGACTCAAGAAGCAATGCTGACTGCTCTGATTATCTATTGAGACACTTAGCTTGCTATTTTTGAGTAGTGTTTGATCTGTTAATTGAACATAGAACGTTATATTTGATGTATTTGTAATACCATCCACTGCTGAGAATTGCATTGTAAGGGTTTTCAATGACCTGATGGCTTCATTCTCAAAAGCAGTCAGTGGTTTTATTCATACTGCAGGGAAAAAATACACATGCAACCAAATTAACACACATACAAACAAAACAGTGTCATTTGTCTTTCAAATCTGCTCAGTGAACTGGTGACAGTGGAGGATAAATATGGGAGTCCTCTCTGAGAAAATTACATTTTCTAGTATAAATACCTGGCCTGTTCTGTGTCCCACCTATGGCCCTTTTTAGGGCAAAAGAATAAAGAATATTGTAGAAGATAGAGTAATAAGTGAAATGAAGTATAAAATTGCTCAGTATGTTGGCTATAAAGCCTTTAATGCTAATCCTATTATTTCTCTGCTCCAGTTGTTAAAAATTTGAGATTTATTTAGCTCATTATCAGAGTTTAGAGTTGCTTTCGCTAAAATTGAAGATATTAAAATTTTACTAGCACAAATACTGAATTTTCTTAGGGCTTTCTGTCTATTGAATGGGAAGATAATTTCAGTTGATAATTAGATAATCTCTGTTGAATTTTCAATCTTAATTGCTGAACTAGTCTTGTTTTAGCCTGCTTTATAAGTAGATATTTAGGCACTGATTATCTCAATCTAAACACATAAATTTCTGACCATTTTTGTCCTTATTTTCAGGAGATGCCGTGACTATTCTAGAGAGAAGCAAAATATAAATTAATTTAGGCCATCTCTTCTTTAACTGCATAATTTTCTCAGCCTTCTGTGAAAGTAGTTTTTAACATCAGATTTAGAACAAAACAGGAGCTGATAGAAGAGCATGTATAGTTGCCATCTCTGAAAGTTTTACCCAAGGGCAAATGGGTTTGCGTGGTTCTAAATTGGTTGGATTAATGCATAGACTGAAGGAGAGTAGGCCTTAACAAATGGAAAACCAGATCTTAGATACTTGTTGAGACCACAATTCAGTGATCTCTGATAAGAGATAAAGAATGGCAGAAAGCTAAAGACTAGCACAGAGAACCTCATTTATTTATCGTATTTCATTGAAATAGTGGAAACTTCAAAAAAAAAGAAAATTATTGTTGCCAAGCCAGAGTGCTCATCTTCGGTACAACTCAGCTCATGGCACCTGAAAACAACGGATATTTGAGACTCTTATTACAGCATGCTTGAATATATTGCTCAAGTAAAAATCTCACTCTGATATTTTATAAATGAACTAAACTTATCTCCTTAGAACTGCAATTGTAAGTTGAAATACGACCTGGTAAAAGCTAAAATTAAACCAAAATTTTACTGTGTAGTTGCTCAATTGTAATTATAGTATTAAATTGACAATGTAAATTAAAGTTTTTAACAGTTAAAATCCTCTAGATGATGATGATGATGCTTTTATTACTATTGCTATTATTATTTATTATAGTTTTTATTGTTATTTTTTTTTATGTTTTATGCTTTCCAATCACATTCAGTTTTTCTAAAGAGAAAGAAATGCCACAGCTTTTATTCAACCCCTCCATAATATACTGAATTTAACGACTTTTTGAATTTGAGATGTTGCACATTAGAGGAAGATTCACCTCAAACGTAGGTTCCTGCCAAAATATACATGCATACTATTATATGTGATTGACCTATATTGTTATACAAATGTGCACAGAAAAAATGCACAATAGAGATCAATTTTTTTTTCACACACTATCATATTTTAGTTTGAAATGATGTAGCAGAACTTCTAATAATGTATATTTATCATAATTATTTAAAGAAGGTGCTGACTTAAAACAGTGAAGCAAACAAATTCACTTTGAGGAGCTAGCTGCTTTTTTTTTAGTTCAAATTTTGAGGACTTTATAGATACCAGAAAAGAGGCAGCATATTATTTTCTTATTGTTATTATCTCTAAATTGATTAAATTGCTGCTGAATAGAGTGAAATGTACAAGCTCTGAAACTGAACATTTTAAGTACACTTTTATGCAGTGTTAAAACTAGAACACTAAAATTAACAAGGCAACTGTTTCTATCCATAAACTTTATGCCATGCTTTGTTATTTTTTTTATTTGCTGTTGATAAAGTTGATAAACTATTGAACAATTTTCTTCAGGACAATTACTAAAAGTGGAAAACATTTTGGGGGAAGGGGTGGACTGAAAGGCAGAAAGAGAGAGAGAAATACATGAGGAAAAGGAGATGCAAATTCCTTTCATGCAATGTTTATCCTTCCTGATTTTTTTTTTATTCTCTAGAAATGCTGAGGTGGGTTGACCCTAGCTAGCAATTTAGTGCCCACCAGCTGCTCACTTTGTCACATTCCTCTTAAGAGGATGCTGGACAGAATGGGAACAATGAAAACAAAAAACTCTTGTAGGTCAAGATAAATTCGATTTAATAAATGGAAGAAGGGGAAAAAACCCCAAAAATACAGCAAAAAAAAACCCCAAACAGGTAAAACAAAATCAGTCTGTCACCACCTTCTGTGAACAGACCATTGCTAGGCCAGTCTCGGAATAAAGCCTGACTGGGAAATGCTCTGGGCCAGCCCTTCCATGTTTTCATTACTGAGCATGACACCATACATCAGAGAATATCCCTTTGGTCCGCTGGGTCAGCTCTTTTGGCCGTCTTTCCTCCCAGTAACTTGCTCACCCCTGGCCTCCTTCTTGGCAGGTAGAGTGAGGAAGCCTTTGATATTGTGCAGTGCTCAGCAATAACTAAAAGACTGATCTCTTATCAGCACTGATGTAGTCACAAATCTGAGCCAGAGATGCATATGGCAGCTATGAATAAAATTTATTGTCTCAAAGCAAGACCCAGTACAAAGGCTCGTGTTGACTAACACAATGGCAGCAGCTTGACATCTCATAAAAATAAAATAAAATGGAGGAATACTTGTGAGATTGGCTGATAACAGGCAGTTAATAGAAGCTGTGTTACAGAAACCTATAAAAAGTGAGGTAAAATATTTATTCAGGGCATGGGAAATATAGCAATGATTATTGGTCTCATGAAACAAAACACAGAAGGAAAAACAGTAAAAAAAAAAAAACCAACGGCGCTTAGTTTGTGTGTTCCAAGAAGCAAGTTTTGATTTTCTGCATAGTTTGGTTTAGACAGGACCAGATGAGAATTTTTTGCTTAATTACATTTTTCAAGCCATCTGTTTGCTTTCTTAAACAAATATGTATCTGGTTATTACAAGGATTGTTGACAAAGCTACACTTAGAAGGACCTTCAAGACATTGTTGTCATTGCACCACTGCTTTTTCACACAAGTAACTACAGAACCAGTAGGTGATATCAATTTAACATAGCATTTAAGTCAGATAATCAAAACCAAATCAAATTACCTTTTACAGGGAGAAATAGACACTTCCTGAGGGCAACTCATCTAATCTTAGTTGCATACTACAGGATGTATCAAATGAACCTCTCCCTGAAGACACAGATAGTAATTGTTCTTTGCTCTTCTCCAGGAAGAGTGACTTCGACTACAACTTGGAACTGATTGGTGATAGGTGTTTACATAAGTTATAGCTCATCCTACTTCATATAGA